CTAGAGCCACAGGTTAAGTAGTTGTGGCACACAGGTTTAGTTGCTCTGCAGCATGTGGGATCTTCCCAGACCAGGGATCAAACCCACGTCCCCTGCATTGGCAGGCAGATTCTTAACCACCGCGCCACCAGGGAAGTCAAGTCTTTTCATTTTGCTTATGGTTTCCTTTGCTGTGCAAAAGCTTTTACGTTTAATTAGGTCCCATTTATTTATTTTCGTTTATATTTTCTTTTTTTAAAATACATTTATTTATTTGTTTTTATTTTTGGCTGTGTTGGGTCTTTGTTGCTGCACGCAGGCTTTCTCTAGTTGCGGGGAGTGGGGGCTACTCTGTTGCGGTGCATGGGCTTCTCATTGTCGTGGCTTCTTGTTTCAGAGCACGGGCTCTAGGCGCGCAGGCTTCAGTAGTTGTGGCACGCAGGCTTAGTTGCTCCGCAGCATGTGGGATCTTCCTGGGCCAGGGCTAGAACCCGTGTCCCCTGCATTGGCAGGTGGATTCTTAATCACTGTGCCACCAGGGAAGAACTCGTTTATGTTTTCAGTACTCTAGCAGGTGGATCAGAAAAGATCTTGCTGTGCTTTATGTCAGAGAGTGTTCTGCCGGTGTTTTCCTCTAAGAGTTTTATAGTATCAGATCTTGCATTTAGGTCTTTAATCCATTTTGAGTTTATTTTTGTATATAGTGTTAGAGAATGTTCTAATTTCATTCCTTTACATGTAGCTGTCCAGTTTTCTCAGCACCACTTACTGAAGAGACTCTTTTCTCCGTTGTATATCCTTGCCTCCTTTGTAACAGATTAGGTGCCCATAGGTACGTGGCTTTGTCTCTGGACTTTCTATCCTGTTCCATTGATCTATATTTCTGTTTTTGTGCCAGTACCATACTGTTTTGATTACTGTAGCTTTGTAGCAGAAAAAGCCATGTTATTACATAAAAATTGCTCATAGAAAATTTTAAAATCTTAGCAAAGGCCACAAACCACACTTTGAGAACCATGTTCTACAGTGGTGATATTAGAAGTAGAAGGTGATAGTTTCTAGAAAGTGGCAACTCATTCTTTTTTTTTTTAAATGGCATTCTACTACAAAGCCTGATTTTATTGACATAGTAAGCACAAATTTTAAGGGAAGTGCATGATGTCAGTATTAAAATGAAATGAATTCTGAAAATCTTATTGATATTCTATTTTAATCCTGGTATAAAGATCAATTAGTAAAATAAAGTCAAACAGAATCCTAAAGTCAAACAGGAAATAGGGATATGGAAGTAGGACAAAATAAGATAGCAAAGGATTGTATTAAATAACTAACAACCTTAAAAAGGGTGGACTTTTTTTAAAACAGTAGATTAAGATTGATTTATGGGATTTTGTACATTTAGTATATCCCTTTTCTGAAAAAGCACTTTAAGGTACAGAATCAATAAATTATGTTTTGTTATGCATTTTTCACCCTTAAAGTTCCTATGCAAGGAGGAAATTATTTGTTTACACTTTATACATTTTAGACAGAATGGCTCTGGATAATAATACAGAGATGGGGAAATAAAAGAGAAGGTAAGATAAAGATGGTTGATTCTGTGCCCTTGGAATTGCTAATCCATAAACAGCAAACTCCCCTGTACGCACTGCCTTCTTTGGGAACTCGTTCCACCTTTTGCCCTAAACTAAAATCTAGCTCTCCCCAAGGCTATCAGTTCCCAAATGGTGCCTAATTATTTTCTTTCATCACATATACAGGATATAGTGTTGATGTCCACCTAGTTCCCCATTGCCATATCCTGGATCACTTTTACCTTACAGTCTTGTAAAATTAAAATAAAACAAAAACCATCACCCACAAAACACACCTGTCCCTTTGTAGGTCATGCTACCTCCTCATCACACCTTCTTTATCTTTCTGATCCAAAATTATCAGCCTTCTCTATCTCACCCACCACTCTTCTGTCCCCCAGCTTATAGAGTAATGTTCCTCGAACTTTATGTACCTTTGAATCACCTGGGCGATCTTATTAAATTCAGATTCTGAGTCAGTAAGGACACCCAGAGATTCTGCATTTCTCATAATTCTCATGAGAAGCTGTGGACCACTTCGAAGAGTAAAGCACTAGAGGGGCTGTTTCTGTTATTATCAAAACTACAGTTATCCTAACTCCCCCTTTCTGCTTTGGCACTCTTTCCCTCCTGCCTTTACTATTTTTAGTATCAGTTCTTCTTCTTAATGTTCTTTGTCATTTTTACGCAGTCAATTTCAATCTCTCTCTCACCTCTCTCTCATCTGCTTAAGTACCACCCACTTAAAAAGAAAAAGAAAAAATCCCAATTTAACCCTTTACTCCCCCTAGCTGCCATCCTAGGTCTCTCAGTTTCACAAACTTTTTTAAAAAAACAATTGTCTGTGTTTGCCAATGTCACCTCCTCATCTCCAATTCAATTCTGTTCCCACTTCCGTGTGATTTGTAGGTCCATTAGTCCACCAACGGTGTTCACTAAAGTTACAAATTACCCCATTTTGAGAAGCCAAAAAGGACATTTCCAGTTCTCATCTTATTTGAACCTCTCAACAGCATTCAATACTGTGAACCACTCTGACATTTTTCCACTTTGTCCTCCATGACAAAAGTCTCCTTATTTTCTTGTTACCATTCTAGCAAGTCTTTTTCAGTTTTACAGCACCATAATCTTCTATCCAGCAATTAGATATTACATACTGAAGTTTTTTGGTGCCCAGTCCTCCTTTTCTAGCATATATTTGCACCCCACAACCTTCATAATCTCTTCTTTGTCACTTAAATGCAGATGATTTCTGAGATATTCTCCAGCTCACACATCTTTGAGTTACAAACCTATATATCCTACGGCCTACTTGACACCTTTGATGTCTCAAAGGTACCTCAAACATAAAAGATCCAAGCTAAATTAATAATTTCCCACCAGCACATGCCATTATTACATAGCCTGATACATAGTCCAAAAAGCTATTACTGTGTTTTTGACACATCCTCTTCTGTCACTGTCATATATTCATCCTTTCCATCTTTCAAGACCTCCTCAAATTCTGTGGAACCTATTCACTTTTTTTCCATCTACACTATCACCTCCACCCTTGTATCAGTAATTGGCATCCCTTGGCTGGGCTACTGCTAATGGTTTCCTAAGGAGTATCATTTCCATTCCTTTCTGCTCCTCCCTCTTTTATCTGTTCTACACTCTGCAGATATGGTGATATTTTGAAACACAAATTTGATCATTTCTGCCCTTCTCCCCTGCTCATCCTGAACTTGTTTTAGTCCATCATACTACTTACCAGGCTCCTTCCCACTAAACGGATGTTGCTTGTACTATTTCATTGGCTTGGAATGCCCTTCCCCTCTTTTCTCCTAAGACTTTATCCTTCAGACCGCAACTCAACTGTCATGATTTTGCAAAAGCTTATCTTTGTCTCAATGTCTAGGTCAAATTTCTCTACTAGAAGACCATACTGAATCGTGTACTTCTCCATTACAGTATTTCCTGAGAGTATGGTACTTTTCTGTTTTTGTTCACCATTGTCTCCTCAGTACTAGAACAATCATGGCACACAGGCATTACCCTCAAAATATCTCTTAATTGAATTAATGTGTGGAGGGGGTAATTATCCACAATATTTGGATAGGAATCGCAAATGATACGGCATTTGAGTTGGGCACTCTGGGTGTTATTATTGAAGAATAAGGTGGAGGAAGATGAATTAGGGACGTTGCTAAGCACAAAATTTAATAGTATTTGCTGGAATATTTAGATGTAAGTGGTAGGGGAGTTGAAGATGTTTCATAGGTTCATTGGAGAATGGTTGAGCCAGAGACAGAACAAGGTTTCAGCTGAAGAAAATGATGTTCAATTTATCAATGTTCTGAATTTGAGGTAACAAACTCACCAGGTGGAAATGGTTTGATGACATTTTGAAATGTAGGAATGGATATGGTGTGAGATTTCATCTAGACATCTTAGTCTGGTTGCCCTTCTGCTCCTGACAAGCAAAACATACTCCTCTTGTCATCTATTTCCTTATCTATTCTTTCTTTTTTTTTCTCTATCCCACTGTCACTTCCCTGGACTTTTACCTGGACTACTTCAACAACTCCCTAACTACTCTCCCTGCATCCAGTCTTGCTCTCCTGTAATCTAGTTTGCACTTTCATTCCAGAGTGACTTTTCCAAGACACCAGAATGTCATTTTCCTGCTGTGGATCCTTAAAATGTTTCCATTGACTGCAGAATAAAATCTGGACTCTTGATCAAAGCTTTATGATTTGATCCTAGAATTCCTGAATTTCACTTCCAGCTCCTCTCTCCAGCCATACCAGACTACTTATCCTCAAATGCCTCCTGCTGCCTTTCTTCCTTCCTTTCTACCTTACTGAAATCTGACTATAGATTAACAAAGTTATTCTGGCTGGGGAAAAAATACTATACTGTCTAGTATGGAGACAAAAACCAAACCCAAACAAAAAGACAAGTAAACGCCTAGCCTTCAAGTTCAACTCAGATGTGGCCTCCTGAAGATTTCTTCTCGAGGAAAATTTATAGTTCCACTGGTTTTCTGCCAGCTCACTGTAATTCTTAGCCCAAAATTAGCTGCATCACTGTCTCTTACATAGGTGAATTTAAGTTCACTATTTGGCATTTCTATCCTTGAGACTGTCTAATTACAAAGCGTTTGGCTACACATAATTTGTTGTCACACGTCTTTCTGGACTGGAAATGTGTCCACAGATTCCTTTCCTTGACCTCAAGAACATGGATACCGGGGGTGGGGGAAGGGGTCATTACGCCTTGCGTCATCACGTGCCGAGAGGGTGGGGCCCTCAAGGGAACTGTAAGGAAGGGCGGAGTCAAATAGAATGGGGCGGGGCTGCTAGGGGGCGGGGCCGCGAGAGGCGGGGCCACGAGGCGGGGCGGGGCCAGAGAGGAGTCGGGGGCGCTTCTGCCATTCAGCCGGTGCAAGCGGCGGCGGGAGGCAGCGCCTGTCGAGTCCCCTCGACGCTAGGTTCAGAGAGCGTTACTGGGACCACCGGCTCAGACCAGAGGCAGACGCGTGGTCGAGCGGAAGCTGGTGGCACCGAAAGCGGCGGCCGGAGTCCGAGCTCCAAAGGCGGGAAGTACCCGGGATCGGGGAAGCCCCGGGAGCAGCGCGGCGTCGCCTCCTTCACCCAAGGGGCCGCGGCGACGGTCACGGGGCGCGGCGCCAGAGCGCGCGACCCAGGCTGGGATTCCAAACAGGCGGCCCAGGCTCCTCCTCCATTCGGGCCGCCTCACCTGCGGGCAACGCTGCGCCGCCTCCGCCCGTATAGACAGCACCTGCGTCGCCCGGCTCACCGGTCTCCGCCCCTCGACCGCCGGCGCCAGGCCCGGGCGGCGCACTTGGACTCGGGGCTGCGGGAGCCAAGGCTCTTGGGGTGCGGCGTCTTTGCCACCGCCCGGGGAGGGTGCAGGTGGAGCGGGCGCGGCTGCGTGGAACCCGGCGCCGGCCGCCTAAGCCGCAGTCGTCCCGGTCGCCGCCGGGTCCCGGGGACCGGGCTGTCCGCGCCCGCGCCCGGGGAGAAGCCGCCGCCAGCCGGGCACCATGAACAGCAGCAGCGCCAACATCACCTACGCCAGTCGCAAGCGGCGGAAGCCGGTGCAGAAAACGTGAGTGTCTGGTGCGCGTCCTCGGCGCGGGGGTGGGCGCTCAGGCGCGCAGGTGCCGGAGGCCGCCTCACCCGTGCCCACATCCCCGCGGCCTGGTGATTAGGTCCCTTCCCCACGCAGTCCGTGGAATCGCGATTTGGAGGCCGGTCGAGAAACCCAGGCCTTGGGTTTTTCCGTGTTTAAAGATCGCATTTAAAAAATTGTGCCCCCCGTTCCCCAGTCTCTAGGGCACGCGCACCCTCGCACCCCCACCCCCCACCCATTTGTAGCACTGTTCACTGTGCTATGGTCCTAATTTGTTGACAGCTCTGGTCTGCCCTGTGGGGCTGGCTGGTGGATTAGTTAACCTAAGCCCGTCTTGAAATCCCCTTTCACATTTAATATCCTCCTCGGTTAGGTTAGAGGACGGTCACCATTCTCACTCCTGATGGGGGGAGATGCTTTTAGGAGCTAAACACGTGCTGTCTGCAGGAAAGGGAATGAGTGTTTCTGAAGGTATTTTTTAGTCCGGTGCAACTGGCTTTCTGTTGCACTCTTTACTTATTTGGCAGTAATTTTGTAGCGCTCAGCGTGAACGCATCGGTACAATGTATAGAGATGGTAGCAGTTTTGAGTGAGTGTAGTAGCCAGAATACAGTAACGGATTTGTATTTTCAGTCACCTTTTGGGGGAGCTTTCTTATCACTTTGGGTCTGTAAATGATTTGGAGCTGGAATTATTGAAACAGACGTTTTCATTCTTAGCATCTTTCTCTAATTCCCTTCTCCCTCTACTTCCAAGTTTAGTCAGTTCTGATAGATTACAAACTTAGATTTTTTGTTTGTTTGTTTTGGTGGGATATTTGTGTGAGATGGCAAATCCTTTTTTTTCAGAAAAAAGAAAAATCCGTGCTTGAGACAGATTTACTTTTGTGAATTGGCAGTATTCATGTGTTTATTCCTAATTATTATCCCTGAGTTATTTTACTTCACATTTTTCAAACTTTCATAAACAACTTTCAGAACACATTAAACAGTTCCTCAGAACAAATCAGAAGTGTGCATTTGGCTTAAAACTTAATTTAGGTCACTAATCCAAACCAGAAAAATAACAGTTTAAGATTAATATTTAAGACCAGTTTAAAAGTTTAATTATTCTGGAGTTTTAATTTCCTTTTAGAATTTCAGTGATTATAGGTCTTCAGATCTAGACTTGGCATTAACAGAGGATATTCATCTATAAATAGACTGATTAAAATTTGGAAGACTTATCCTGCAGTGTGGCCGACGTTAGGAATACTGCCGAATCAGCAGTTTTTGTCTTGGCAGTTCTGTTGACATTGGTTTTCAATACTTGCGTTTTATAGAGTGGTTTCTTATATAAAAATGTATTTGTCTAATTTGACTTTGTCCTTAGTGGTTATTTAAAATTCAGAGGCGTCACAAACGCTTCTATGTATTTATTAATACACTGGTATACTTGGCATTATATATAATAGAGTTTTATCATAGGTGTTATGTATATGGTCACATAACCTGAAGATGCCCCTGATGGATTTTTAAGTTACTGCATTTCAGTCAGTGTGTTACAGAAAGACCTAGATGACTTTAATAGAATGCTTTAATTTTTATTCATCATAAAGTTTAACATTTTTGGCTTCTCGTTAATGTTTTATTAAAGATTTTTCCTTTAAACATAGTACTGTACATTTTATTTACGTAAGATGTACCTTTTATTATTTTATATTAGCATTTTAATATACTTTCTAAGATGTTAGTATATTTGTATTTAATAATCTCTAATACAAGACAACTAAAGCGTTTCTACATTCACCCTTATTTTATTTAGTTAGTATAAATGTTTATCAGATCTTTATTGAACATCATGCGTTGCTTTTAATCATATAAATGCCTTAAAAGGTCACTGCTCCATAAGAAAAGCCTAGTGCTGGCATTTACAGAATCACATGAAATTGTTTATAAATTGTTTTTACCAGAATGAAAAAATGGTTAACTTAAAATGCAGTTAATCAAAGTCCATTTTAAGAATGGGGCCATAAACCCAATATTAAGTTTAATGTGTTTTTTTAGTTAAATTACTAGTTTGTGGCTAATAGGCTCTATAATATGTTGGCACATTGTCAGAAAAATTCATCTTGTTTGAGCTGAAAATGTTATTGAGATCTATTTAACTTTGACCCCTTAAGTCAGCCATTGTATCTTAAAGAGAAAATATGTTGTAGCATAATTATAGGACTGTTAAAAAGATGGCCATTTAAATATACAATTCCATAAAATTTTGGAACCAAGTGTGTGACATACTTTTAACCTGAAGCTCTTCCAATCTTCAATGGAATTTATTAAACGGGATCAACGCCCCCTAGTGGCAAAGTCCAACGTTGAAAATTATCTTAGTACGAAATATATTTTAAACGTGTTAAATTTAATCCCGCTAAAGTATCTTGTACATAGTAGACACTCAGTAAATGTTTCTTTTCTTTTCGGAGTAATGAAAGCTAGAAGATTAAAGGATATGAAGCAACCTTGCATCTGATCCATGTTCCTAAAGAAATTTTCAAAGATACCCTTAGGAATAGGTTCTACTGTTTCCTTACCTGTTCCTTAAAATAACCCTGCTCAAAAAAAAAAAAAAGAAAGAAAGAAAGAAAGAAAAAACAATTTGTTTTTACTTAAATCCTCTTCTTGTTTTATTTTCTTTGGAGATGAAAGCCTTTTTGTACATTTCTTTAATTACTTTGCTGCATGAAGATAGGTGAAAAGCACACTATTGAATTAAATAGAGTCTGGGTTTCTTTTCCCTAATGATAATAACTTTGGATGTATTTTTGTAGTTTTTAAGTTCTATTAATACATAAAAAGTTTTAGTGGTACTTCAATTTACCATATTTTTAGAAAATTAGTGCTGAATATTGGCAAATAATAGGTGTTGAGTAAATGAAATCTACACTTAAAAATGATATCATTAGTGGTGGTGATCAAGCCAGCCATCATGAAGTGTCAGAGTTAGAAATAACTTCTCAGCCTTAGTTGACCCTTTTTACTTTGTTAACACACTAATAACATTAGTATAAAGGCAGTGTCTTCCTTGCTATGTTTGCTAAATTGCTATTCATTCTGTTTAAACCTAATGAACCTCACTTATACAATACCTACTTAGTTGAATAAAATTGTTTTACTGAAAATGTTTGATATAAACGTACTATGATAAAATTTCCTAAATAGCTTCTAAAATAAAAATATAGGTATTTTTAGTTACATAATTGTTTCTCCACTGTTGTTTTTCTTTCAAATAAGCTTTGTTCAGATAGTTTATACATAGTGACTATAAAGGCTCTCAAATATTGGACCTATGAAATAAGTAAGTGAAAGTGATTAGTTATTGGTAACATTTATACAAATACATAGTGTAAAGAGGAAACAGTGAGCACTAGTTGAAAAAGCGCTAGTTCTAAACTAAAATTGAAAAAGCACTAGCTCTAAACTAAAAGATGAGGTCTACTTTTCTCACTTGTATAGGTCTTGGCAAGTGATTGACCAATAAGGCAGGCAGTCAACACCTACATTGCCACTCTCACAACTAAAATTAGCAGAGGAAGAGTATTTTATAAGCTGTAAAGACTTCTAACAGAAATATAGATTCTATTTTTAAATAATTTCAGCTTACATTATCACAGAACAATCAATTCTCCTGTGAAACAGTAAGAGGCAGTATATGATTGCATTCTCAATTGTGGGTAATGAAATGTACTACTCCACTGGTGAAAAAACATACACAGTACATGCTCATTGGTGCATATAATTTAGACACTTACTTAGAAATTAGTACCATGCAAATCTTTAACAACAGTACTTTTCTACTTCCACTCTTCTTTTAAAACTGATATTTTTGCATACTGGTTTTATATAACAAAAATCTACTGTTTGTTAGTACTTATTGTGACATAAGCAGGCACAGTGCTTTACAGACATCATTTTATTTCATTTTTATAATAGTAGTATGAAAAGGTATTATTATTTCAGCTTTCCAGATAGGGACCTGAGGTTCAGATTCAAAATTGTTAGGTAGTAAATGAAAGGATGAGTTTTAATATCAGATTCCAGGTCTTTTGGCTCCAAAGCTTACATTCATTCCAACTTCGCAGTGCTGCCCAGGTAAGTTCAGTGATGCAGATGGTACACCCACATACTAGGGATTTCCTTAACGCTCACTGTTTCTTCTCAAATAGTGTTCTGAATAAATTATTTCCCTTTGCCCATACATGATTTGTGCTTGCTTGACTCCGTACTTGCATTCATGCCCTTTCTTCTTAGAGTCTTTTCCTCCTCTTTTCATTGATGTGCTAGCTACCTCCCCTCCTTTAAAACATTGTTTTCAGTGGCTGCATGGTACTCCCTTCTGTTAAAGCTCTGTAATTTATTTTGAGGCGGAAATTCTGTTATTTCCAATCTTTAAATATTTCAACTAGTACTTCAGAGAATACCCTTGAGATATGTGAATTTCTATGTAAATTTTTAGTTCATTCCTTAGGAAAAATTCCTGTAAGTGGAAATTTGGGTACAAAGATATGATATACTTTTACGGTTGAGCCAGATATTATGCTCTGAAACATGCTGTCAAATTACTCTGCAAAAAATTTCCATTCCTATTGGTACTCTGTAGGAGTGCCTATATCCTTGCATTTTTGCTTTAAAAATATTAATTGTCAACTTCATAAGCCAAAAAAAAAAAATGGGGTAGATAATGGAACTTCTGTGTTGGGATTGTATGTGTGGAATAATAGTGAGTACATTTGCAGATTTTTCTACTTGAGATGTCCTTTACATACTGATTTTCTTTGTTTTATGTTTTTCAGTTTGCTCTTTTACCTTATTTTTAATGAAATACTGTTTTGAAAAGTATTCGTTTTAAATAACACATGCACATGAAAAAGTCAATAATGTGTATAATGTTATCTTAAGTTTAGCATAGTAGGCATTATCTGTTGATGTTTTATTGTGATA